TGTTATTCTGACTTGAGAAATTGACATGTGATTTTCTGTCTGGATCAAATTTTTCGGATCATTGTGATACCACATGACTACATAGCCTTAATAGTGTATAGTGTCAACAAGCACAAGCAAAATGTCAGTCAACTTCCTCTTTCTGCAGGCTCGCTATAACTTTATTCGCAGTATGGCCGCCTACAGTCTTCTGCTCTTCCTGCTGCAAATCAAAGACAGACACAACGGCAACATCATGCTGGACAGCAAGGGCCACCTCATCCACATTGGTACAGTACGATATGTACAGTATTTATAGCTATACAGTATAAAGAATGCAAAGTCTGTGGTTTACACTGGTGCTGACTTTCTGTAATGAATATAAAACTCGTATTCATTCACTTGAGACATTTATCCTCCCTTGCTCACAGTGCGGAAGAGATTTTAATTCAGCGTTTACCTTGTTTGCTCCAGACTTTGGCTTCATGTTCGAGAGCTCACCGGGTGGGAACCTGGGCTGGGAGCCAGACATCAAGCTGACAGATGAGATGGTGATGATCATGGGAGGAAAGATGGAGGCCACTCCGTTCAAATGGTTCATGGAGATGTGTGTAAGAGGATATTTGGCAGTAAGGTGAGTTACTGCAAACATGAAGGTCCTGAGAGGGACGTGTAAGAACTGCCATGGTCTTTGTTGGTAGTGTAGAGTTTGAAGTCCATGTATAGTCCTTTATATTGTAGTTGAACTGTTACACTCTGTGTACATTGCCACAAACAGACCCTACATGGATGCAGTGGTTTCTTTGGTGACCCTCATGCTGGACACTGGACTACCATGCTTCAGAGGACAAACCATTAAGCTCCTCAAGTAAGTTCAAAAGGAGTTTGTGTGTTTTTCTGTCTTAGGACAAATTTCTAAACCCATCAATTGGGACGGCTTGTCCAATTGAAGACAAAAGCTGTAAATCTGTGGCCAGAAAATAGATGAATGCATCTTAAAATATTAATTGTGTGTGTATCAATTTTGTTTTTCAATCAGAGGACGGTTTAATCCACAAATGAGTGAGAAAGAAGCAGCAGCGTTCATCATCAAAATCATCCAAAGCTGTTTCCTCAGTAGCAGGTGAGAAAAATACTCAGTCCCCTTCTATGCAGCTGATTTGTTAATCGCACATTGACATTGTGAAAAACATCAACACAGTTATGAGCCAAAACACAGACATGAGGTTCCCACTCACACTTTAATGAACTTCTTTCCAACAGGAGCAAAACGTACGACATGCTGCAGTATTACCAGAACCAAATTCCTTACTGAGGATCTTCAACCGGACCTCCACTGTACGTCCAACGCAAACGTCCTAACACAAGCAATGCAAACCGAGGTTATGTGTATACCGCTCTGCTCTCAGTGTGAGCAGCGACAAGAACGTGACACTTTGGTCCGTGTTCTTCAATTTTATTGTAATTTGTCTGATTCTTTAATGGTCTTAACAGTTCTTTATGTAACTTCAGAGTAAAGAACAATGTACAACTTAAACCAAAAGAGGTATTTGAATCACCCTTTAAGTATTTTACTCCTGATGCTGTCATTCGTTACTTGTCAAACATGAACTGAACTACCACACGAGTTTATAGTGTTCGTTGAAGCAGCCGTCGCATTCATTGTTATCATGTTGTTACTATGCTGTTATCTACTTTCATGCACTTTGATCAGAGGTGATTAGAGCATTTACTGTAGAATATCACTGCTGTTTCCTCTGTGATTTACTTGGAACTTGTATAATCAAATGGTAAGAACATATTATTCAACAATTTAAAAAACTTTTAACTGTGTTGCTCTGATGCTTACCCTCGAAAGTCATTTCACACCTCCTCATGTCAGCTTTTAAGTGGAATCTGTTGTATAGAATCATTGTGTCACTACAGAAACTTGGCAACCCATAACGTGAACTTTTTAAGGTTTTGATGTTAACAGGTTCTGCCTTGTGTTTCCACTTTGTTTTCAAACTGGAACGTTTTCGATACATCACTGAGAAGGAGACTCCAGGAAAAACCCTGTGGTGTTTTTGTACTGTCTGTTAGGTGAGTGCACATGTGGGACAGACAACAATGTCCCTGTAGCATGCAGCAGAGATGAGTGGGGGTCTAAATCTAAATGTCAAATGGTTTGTGTTATCTTATATATAGAGAGCTGAGTCTGTATGTTTTGTTCTGTGTAAAGGCTTAATAGAAACTTTTTAAACTACTATACACTACTTTTTAAAATCTTTTAATCAATCTTTTAATTACTGTTTTACCACAGCTGAATGTTCAGGATCTTCATTATCATTGTATCACTGTTTTCATTCTGAATCACTGTTTAAATGGATGGAGCTCCCCTTAAATAATTGCCATGTTGCAAAAACAGAAAAAAAGAATTTGCATTCCTTCCCTATTGACTTCCAGGGTCGAGGGTACAGTGGAAATAAAAGCAGAAGCTGTAACAATGGCTGCAAGTTAAGTTATGGGTTGTTAAGTTTCTGCAGTAGAAAAGGCCAGGAGGAAGGATTTGATATCGCAGCACACAGGGTAGACAGGAGCTCTGTGGCTGCTCTACACCACAGCCTGCATGTCTCAGATACAGAGTGAGATTTACAGTATTTTGTCCTGTGTCAGAATACATGTGTTGTATGTGTCTGCACACCCTTTACAATATGTGTAACCCTGGGAACATTCCTCTGTGAGTGTGAGACTTTGATCAAACCTCTTGGGTTCAGGTTTGTGTTGGATGATCTTGCTGTTACCGATGCAGCTGACGAATACACCTAAAAGCCATTTCTCCTACCCTTGGTAGAAACGATAGTAATACTTGACAAAAGATAACTTTATGCAATATAATCGTGTATATTGATGCTGTATTTGTGTGTTGTGTACAACAAATGAAATTGCTGTAATTACATCGTCCTGATCATTGCGTAATAAGTGTTTTATGTTGCAGCTATAACTGACTGTCATTATATACCTGAGGGGGTGAAACAAACATATATGACTGTACTAAAGTGCATTGTTTTAATGACTCATACACACAAACTTTTTGTTGTTGTTCTCACCAATTCTTGACAAAGCCATTTTATGAATGGGGTTGATTTTACTATTGCTGTTGTTTGAAATATTTTTGTCATCCTTTAATGTCCACAGAGTAAGAGTGTGTGCGTGTGTGTGTGAGTGTGCGTGTGTGTGGCGACATCATTGCCAGCACAGAAGAATTTCACAGCTTTTATCCTGTATGAAAATTCATGATATCCAGATTAAATGTGTGAACATTTCATCGGTGACAGGCTACTTGTGTGTTTTCTTTCTTAATGAAAAAACAGGACCTTTTTGCTTAATTAGACAAACTGAGGAAGACTGAGAATTTATAACAATAACACAGTAACGCAAAGAAAAAGATGGTGGTGGGAGTGAAACTTTTACTTTGTCTTCCTCTCTTCTTCAGAGCCTCAATTCCTGATATCTGGTCAAATGATGTCTACGGGATCAAATAGCATCATCATAGTTACATAACTGAGCTCAACAACACATGTAAAAGTGAAGTGGGGTGGGGGGGTGTCCTTTTCCACCCTTTATCTGAGGGGAGGACTCTGAAAACCCCAGTTTTAAAGTCTGAACTACATTTGAATTGAAATTTGTAACAAAAAATGTCAAAATGAATCCCTGATTCTTATGGCTGATGTCAAAAGCTAAGACCAAAACTATTCACAGCCACCGCATGTCTCCTCTTCTATTGCCACAGGTGACAGCATGTCAGTCAGTGTATGAGCTAAAAGTTCTGTGGGAATTTGCCCTGCATATATGTAGATGTTTAGCAGTGTAAGGTCAGACTGAATGGTCTATATTAAAGTTACAGTGTGTAGAATTAATGATATCTAGAGTTGAAGTTGCATGTTTTAGCTGAACACCCCTAACATCACCCTCTCCATGATAAAGAACCTGCGGTAGCATTCAGTTGTCCTAAAAACTCAAAAGGTGTTTAGTTTGTCCATCTGGACTAATGTAAAAAAACATGGTGGCCTCCATAGAGAGGGTCCCCTCAATGTAATTTAAATATAAAGTATTTAAATATAAAGGGCTTTTTCTGGGCTAAAGAACAACTCATACAATTCATACAATTTACATGAAATGAACTAGTGAAAACATCATGAGGATTATTCTACTTACATTTCTGTCAATACTTCCCTTTCACCTAAATCTTACACATTGGACCTTTAAGTGTAATATAGCATAATCAATCAATTCTGTTTTCAAATAGTGAGTACTGTGCTGCACATTAAATTATATTCATGTTTTTATCACTTGTCTTTCAGAATCAGAAGTACTTTATTATTCCCCATAGAGAAATTCAAACGTTACAGAGCCCCTGAGAAAGAGGTGAAAGAGCAAAAGCAGGTAGGAACATACATTTGTTTAGACTTTGTTTAGATTCAATTATCAATTAACTATGAATTAATGAATGATTAATATTTAATCACTTATATGAAATGCTCTTTTTTTGAATTGCATTTTAATTTATATCTGTGTATGTTTTATGTAAGATGTTTTTATCTGTCTGTCTACATGAAATAAAGAAAAACAAATTATTTTGCTGAGATATTCATTTGATAGAAGATATATTTGTTTCATCGGACATATAGATGTTTAGTTTTATTGATTCTTTTTATATATTGATTATGTACATATAGAGAGTTTGAAGTTTCAGACTGTACTTTCTGTATCAGTTGTTGCAGAGTCAGGAGTGGTTCTCACTCATCACACCATAGACTGTATATACATGTAAAGTATAAATACACATATATATATATACAGTATACACATATGTGATGTTTTCTACTGTGTTCTTCCTCCAGGTAAGCTGCGCCTGTGTCTGGGTGACGTCAGAGGGATGGGCAGGTCACGTGGTGAGCTGCGGGGGGAAACCTGCGGTGTAACGTTACTGGAATGGGAAAGAGGAAGACGAGGAGCCGGAGAAGAACAAGGTAAGAGACCCGCAGAGCGCCCTCACATCCCCGCGGGTGGACGTGTGCAGCCTCCGCTCTCACTTCCAGCCGGAGAGAAGTTTCCCGACTTTAACTGCGAGCGTTCGGTGTCGAGTTGTCTGTAGGAGACTTTGTTCTCTTCGAGGAAACTTTGCCGCCGTCGTCGTGACTCCACAGGGGGAAAACAACAGGAGAGGACATGTTAGGAAGCTGCAGAGAGAAAGAGAGAGCGCCGGACAGCAGCAGGTTGGCTCGGACTGACGGGGAGCGAGGTGGAGAGTGGACTTTCTCCCCCTGTGTGCGAGCCAGCTGCTGAGGCCCAGAGCTGGGAGTCACTCAGCTCACCGCTCCACGGTTAGAACCGCTCACCGACAGGCAGCGGCGATACCGCCTAATGCTGAACCCTCGGTGCGACACCACCGGACGGTCACTCGAGCTCTGACTCCATCAGCCAGAGAGAAACCAGAGAGTGTGTGGAGGAGATGGTGTGTCCGATGGAAGAGGGAGGAGAAGTGGAGCAGAACAGATGTGTACTGGTGTATTCACGTTGTTTTTATAATAAGCTAGACTCAAACTTTATTGCAAAGTAGGTATACACATACAAGGAATTAGGTTTCGTGTGTTTGTGCAAGCATGAATATAAAAAAAGGAAACCATGTATATGTATATAATAGCATAAACACTAGAAAATAGACATGTGCAATATGAATGTTAGATATTTACATTTTGATGTCTGACCTATATTGCCCAACAGTAAGAGTCCCCGTGTGAAATCACATTTAAATTCATCAGATCTGTTTTTATTTATTTGGATCTGCACCAAATCACACAGACTCTTAAATATCAGTCCCTTACATATTCCTAATCCATGATCCATGAATTATTCTCTGAGAAATCAAAATCAAATGAAAATTGTTGTGCATGCAGCGCCCTATCGATGTGAAATAAAACGATACCGAGATCTGCAGAATCATGAAGCTGAGAGAACAGCTGCTGCCGTTAAATATCTTACTTGCCATGGCCCCAATTTACACTGTTGAGAAACAGCAACAAGCAAGAATGTGTGTGGTCTTTTCACACAGGCTTTATTCTAGTCAGTTTCTTATTCTCCATCCCTCGGCTCACCTGGATATTGTCAGAGAGGGAACAGACATACAAAATATTTTTCTCATGTCTCTTTAATAGAAGACAGATGCAGGTGAGAACTTGTGGCCAAAAATGTGTGTTTTGCTGTTATATATACATGTATGTCTCTATGTGTATGATGAATATACTTAGTTTTGTGTTGCATTACTGGAATCACCTCAGCTTTGTTTTGTACAGAGCTTATGACGCATTTTGCAGAATATTATTTCTGTGTAGGCTTACTCTATAGTTCTGATATGACAGTGATCTAGTTGTGTGTGTGAAGTATTTTCATTGCATTAGGTCATTTGAACTTGTCTGTTGTTGGTTTGTGTGACTGCACATCGCTGTCTTGTCTTTGTGAGAGAGGCCCTGCCACTAATTAACACCACTGTACGACCACACATGTTTCTGCAGTTCTGACTAATTGAGTTGCGATAGAAATCTGTCGGGGATGATATTCTCCAAACTTAACCTGAACTCATGTTTTATCAATGAAAGAAGCTCACAGCCATTTATATGTTTGAGCCATGACCTTCATTATTTGGAACAAGGAGCTGATCAAATCTAAGGTGTGAGAGATGAGCCGGTCCACAGGGCGGCTGAATTATTTAAATGTGAGGATTCAGTTTTTATATTGTTATCAATTAAATATATATTTGGGCTGACTTTTTAATTTGAGCATTTCACCGATGTTTTTCACTATAAACAAAAAAGTGATACCCGCAGCAGAATGAATACTTTATGTCAGGCCTGCTGCACCACCCCTCACCTGAACGCTGTAGCGAATCGCCTGCTGCATTGTTCATGAGTGAGAGGCAAGTCTGAAATAGCTTTAGTTAGAATTCACTCAAAGTAACCTTTTTTTTTTTCAGAACAGAACAGAACAGAATTCTTTTATTTGCCAGGTATGTTTGCACATACAGGAAATTGCCTTGGTGTCATTGGTGCACTACTTATGTACATAAAACAACAATATAAAAAACAACAATATATAAGAAATTGAATAAAATTAAAATAAAATAAAATAAAATAAAATAAAGTATATACATATATACAGTAACAGAGTAACAGGGTTATGGGCACGTGCTGTGCGAAGGTGCAGAGATTGGTGATAGTGCCAGTAGTATATAAGCAATAAATTATAAATTATGTGCAGGGGGTGTGGTGGGGTAGAGTCAGTGCGGTGCAGGGGGCTTGTTTAGCTCTACTGTTTTACCTGAGTAACAGCAGCACCTCAGTCCAGCTATATATAGTGTCTGGTTGTAAGTCATCGTACAGTTAATGAACATCTCTGAAGATTGATTAAGCACAGGGGTCATTTCTTCATCAGCAGATTTAGTAAGCTCAGGTCAAGATGAATATTTTTTTTCGTGCACACTTTACAGACTGATTGTCAATATTGCCTTGATATGTTCCAATTAATGTCTTAAGCCTTGAACATTAGTTCATGACCTCTTTTTTTCTTTACAGGTGATTCCTCAGCAAAATCTCTGTTCATACCAGGTTTGCATTCTGACCTGCAGGCCAATGTAAGTCGTGTTGAGTGACTGCGTGTGAAAGAGGTATTCAAGCACAGTTCATATTATTTTTTACCTCTCCAGATCAAATCCACTTAACAAAATGGGAACTAAGGGTTGGTTGGATGTTAAGAATGTATTTTTGTGCTGTCTGCAACAAGCATTGTTGTGTTATCCTGAGTACAATATGTGAGCAGCAGTTATCACAACAACAGGGGGAAATCAGATTCAGCCCGACCTGTTTCTTAATTTGGTTGCAGCATAAAAATGCATTCTTGACTCAGCTTGCATGGAGGATGGTGGGAGAGCAGCTTTACTCTCTAGAGCTCTGGCTGAAGGGTGTTTTCTATGGTGACCTTAAGTTCCAGGGTTAGTTTTCTTTAGTGTGCATTCCTCAGGTCTGCGGTAAAATAATGTATCAAATTACATTTTCTGGAATTTTGTTTTTTTAATCCTTTGGCTTCCTCCTTTTTGTATTTCCATTTTACTTCCTCTGTTCTCTCAGTGATTTGAATTGATGATGATATGATCTAAAACTACTAATCAGATGGTGGCATGATTTATGCTTTTCTTTCTCCTGTGGAATAGAAAATTGTATATGTGTATTTGGGTTTTGAAAAAGTCAATTAGTTGATAAGCAAAAAAATAATGGGCAGCTTCTCTGATGATCCAGCCATAGTTCATGCTTTCTTTATGCAAAACCCCAGATATTCCCTTCTCAAATTTAAAAAAGGGTTTATATCTCACTATAGGGAAAATCTTTGAGTTCTGTGCTGTTGGGTCGAGCAAAACTTTGAAAGCATCACCATGGCTCTGAAAAAAACAATATCAGAATTTTTGGGGTTTGTTTTTTACATAACATAGGCCCAATGGTTATTCAAGGAACCAGCTAATAGTCCAAAACCCAAATTCTTAAATTTTAGAAGCTGGAACAGATCAGTTTTTAATCATAACATTGAGTTGCAGCTTATCTTTAATTATTGCACTTAATCAATACTTAATAAATGCATGTGTTCCCATACTTGTGTGTGTGTGTGTTCTCTCAGGGACCATCACTATCCTCATGTCCTATGGAGGAGGCTTTCACGGACGCACTGAGCGTGTCCGCCAGGCGCCCCACTATGACCAGGTACCACAAGGCTCCTTACCCCGAGAAGACTCCTTCGATCTGCAGCCGCTGAGAGAGCAGAGAGCACATCATCACGCTAAGAGCGCTGACCCCCTCCCGCCCCCACCTCTGCCAGACCAGCCTCCTGTGGGACCTGAGTTCGATCCCAGCGGCAGTGAGAGCAACAGTCACCCAGACCTCGACCCCGCCATTGACATCAAACCAGTCCACCGTTTCATCCCTGACTCCTGGAAGAATTTCTTCAGGGGAAGCAACCGTAGCAGTGACAAGTGGTCCATGCCTGCATCCTCATACAACAATAACAACAGCACCACTGGGGGGGTGCGCTGCTCACCCCCTCACTCCCCCTCTGTTCCTGGGTCATACCGGGATCCCTATGGGGGCTCAGGTGGTAGCTACAACTCCAGAAAGGAGCTTCTGGAAGGACAGGATGCCCCTGAGTCTGTGTCAGGGCGCACCTACCGCACAGGTCTGACCTACAGCGAGCGAGTGGAGGAGTACCATCAGCGCTACGCCTACATGAAGTCCTGGGCAGGACTGCTGAGGATTCTAGGCTGTGTGGAGCTCCTGCTGGGAGCTGCTGTGTTTGCCTGCGTCTGTGCCTACATCCACAAAGACAACGAATGGTTCAACATGTTTGGATACTCTTCTCCTGGGGGAGCATACGGAGGTTTCAACGGCGGCATCACAGGCGGGTCCTACTACTCAGGCCCCAAGACCCCGTTTGTGTTGGTGGTGGCAGGGTTGGCCTGGTTGATGACTGTGATTCTTTTAGTGCTGGGGATGACCATGTACTACCGCACCATTCTGCTGGACTCCTCATGGTGGCCCCTGACTGAGTTTACCATAAACCTGGCTCTGGCAGTGCTCTACATGGCAGCAGGTGGGTAACAGAGTTGTACACCCAAATTACACAAACATTTTTCTAGAGATGCCGCTAGCCATTATTTTTGCAACATGCAACTTCAACACTAGATGTCACTAAATTCTACACACTGAACCTTTAAATAGATTAGCTTTATTTCAAGCACCACTGCTGGAAAATAGAATAAATATAATTGTTCATTGCTGTGACCACCACACACAAAATTCCATTCACCTCCATTTTACTTGAGGTGGCATCAAAAGTAAGAAAACATTTATCTCAGTAGAACAATCGTTAAAGAGACTTTCTTTTGTTTTTTCCTCCTTTTTTTATCCAGGCATTATCTATGTTCGTGACACAACTCGTGGAGGGCTCTGCTCCTACCCAGTCTTCAACAATGGCATCAATGGAGCGTTCTGCAGAACAGAGGCTGGCCAGACTGCTGCCATCATCTTTCTGTTTGTCACAATGGTTATTTATCTGATTGGAGCCATGGTGTGTCTCAAGCTGTGGAGACATGAGGCTGCACGCATGTACCGGGAGAGGAACGGTCTGGAGGTAAAGCCTCAGCCAGCTTGAGTTGTGTTTGGTTTTGTTTCAAGGGTTTGGTCATGGGTTCTTCTGCTTCTGCTTAAGCTTTAATGATTAGCCCAACGCTATCAGCCATTCTGAATACTTAAAAAAAAAACAGACTGCAATACAACAAGCCAACAACTGTAATTTAACAGAGTAGGGCTGTAGTCAACAAATAAATAAAATAAACAAATGTTATTCAACTGATTACACAGGGGAAAAAATGCAATGTACTCTCTAGATTAAGTAATTCAGCCACAGTCCAGTCCATGCACTCTACCTGGTTGCCTCATTAGCCTACAGAAATTATAAATAAACATAAGAACTTGTATTTGTATATTAAATCATTGTACCCTAACTTTTAGACCATATCAAATGATCCATTCTGATATGTTTTCACATGATGCCTCAAGTGTTGATGGAGTCCTAACGAAAACAAGCACGTCTACTGTTTAAAATGATGTGCCATGAATATGCCAATGCTTATAATAGTCAATGTTTAATAAAATAATTATTCTCCTTACAGTAAATTCTAAGTATAAGTTAGGTATTGACCAGAAATCTTTTTTGTTTGTCCTGCACAGATGCTGCCCTCTGAGATGCGAGCTGCTCGCTCATTGGTTGATTCAGGTCCAGCTCATGTATTTAAAACTCCAGAACAGGCCCAAGAGTCCTCAGTCGTTCCCATCCAGGCTGCTCCAAAAGCAGCCGCAGCAAAGATTTTACAGGGAGCTATACCATCAGGACACATTCCAAAACCTGTCATTGTGCCTGACTATATTGCGTAAGTGATGCTGAGAAAAAGGAGCACAGTAGAGCTGCAGTTGATCATTATTTTCATTTTCAACAAGGCTGGTCTGAAGATTCCTTTCAAAGTCAAGTGCTTTACACCATTCAGTTCTGTCTTTTCAGAGCTAGTGTACACGTACAATAAGTAAAATACACAAATCACTCTGGGATTGTTAAAAGCAAGGTCACAATAAAAAGACATGTAGAGAGATAAGCACAGCAGGTGACTAGCAGAGTACATGACAGACTCGGGACAGCAAGGGGCACCTGATGTTAAAGCCGACAGTGTCGAGTGATAATGAACCATGTCTTTAAATAAGTTGCAGAAATGTAGAATATGTTCAGTTCTCTGTGACGTTTGGTGAGATTTTCATTCTTGCTTAACTTTAGAGGAAATTGGAGCTGGGGCTGGAAATTAAGAATTATTTTCTTAATTGTTTAGTGCAGTTCCTGTTTTACAAACAATCTGTGGGATATTACAGTAGCTGCTTGTAAACTAATATGAAGTATCATATATGATCATGTGTGTAAGACAGACAATGACATGTGTTTCTGTGCCTCCACCTTGCAGTAAGTACCCATCCATACGGACAGACGAGGAGCGGGACCAGTACCGAGCTGTGTTCAACGACCAGTATGCAGAGTACAAAGAGCTCCACGCAGACGTGCAGGCCACCCAAAAGAAGTTTGATGAGATGGACGCCATGATGCGCAGTCTGCCTCAGCACCCCAACAGCCAGATGGTGATTGGTTACACATTTCTTGTCGGAAACAAAAAACACTCTGGCATTTTATTTTCTCAGTAGCATCTTTTGTCATGACTCCTTTCATGGGATCCCCTGCTGATCCCCTGCTGTGTTCACACATCGACCTCTCCTGGGTTTCTACGGACTTTATACTAGGGGGCTAGGCAGAGAAAGTCAGCAGAACCTACAGAGCGTCTCACTTGGACATTTGCGTTCAGACATGCACCTCCTCCGGAGAAAATGTGGAGGATGTGGATGTGTCTGAAAGCAGCTAACAGTGTTCCTCTGACAGATATTTGATCGCGTGCGTCTTCCTAAACCACTGTTAGAATTACATGAGCACAATACTGCACCCAGTCTTTTTGTTGTTCAAGTGCACCTCATTTCCCTATCCTGTTTGCACTTCCTGTTCCCTCTGTACTTCCCCTCCACCCTCAACTTCCTCCATCCAGAGGACAGATTATTTTTTTCCTGCATCATTGCTCTTAATTTTCATTCCTGTTAAACATTTGTGTGACCTAGATGTAATACAGTCTCTTCTCTTCATGTAGGAGGTTGATCGCATTTCCAGGATCCTTCAGGAATACCAGAGGAAGAAAAATGTGAGACCATTTTCTTGTCATTGTTTTGCACATACTATCTACAGCTGTGTGCTTTTCTGATGCCTGTTTGGTTATATTATAGAAGTATGTCTGATTTTCTGCTTTCCCACTTTCATTATTATTTCTTCAAACATCTACAGCAGCAGATGAATCCTGTATAAGAATAAATTTCACCCCCACAGAAACTTAATACTGTTAAACAATCTAAATATTTTGATGTCTGTCGTTCAGTATTTGTATGCCCTTGCCCTTCTGTTGCACCCGGCTACAAGCTCATTGGTTCCTGCTGATGGCATCAAACTTTAAAAGCAACCCATGAATATAAAGTTTTGTGTTTATGCCAATTTTCAGTGGCAGTTTTTAGCAGTTGTTATAGAAACGACCTCACAGGATTTATGCAAATCCCACGTTAGTGGGATCAGTTCATTCGTTGAGTATCACCAGCGTTATCCCTAATGTATTGTTGTAGTCACACAAGTAACTGCTCCTAAGCAGTGGAAATGAAAAGAAAGGTTAATTAGATTTTCATTCCTGTCTGTGTTTCTGCTCCATCATCCCAGGATCCAACGTTCCAGGAGAAGAAGGAGCGCTGCGAATACCTGAGGAACAAACTGTCTCACATCAAGCAGAGGATCCAAGAATACGATAAAGTCATGGAGTGGAACGATGGATACGACTAGACCTCTGAGGCGTCTCTACAAATAACACCACTGAAAACAAACAGAACTTCCACTGACGGTTAAGCAGGTACCGGTGGTGAAACCCATTCATGAACCCAGGAGCACCAGTGGGATTTCACCCTCTTAAATGTTTTTAAATCTTTATAGCAGATGTGCCTGACAAACATTTATCAACAGTTTTTGTGTCTTAGTTTAAGTAAGCCCAGGTGTAGAACACATGTAATTTTTTTCTAAAAGGGATAGTTCTGCATTTTGGGAAGAGGCTTAATGAGACATCTTAACCTAACACAAAGCCCACATGCACCTCCAAAGCTCAAAACTAGTTTATATCTTATCAAAAATTACAATTTACTGTTTTACAGAAAGTAAAGTGCAGGATTCTTTTCTTGGAAGTAAAAGTTGTGTGGCACATGATCCTCTAAAAACACTGACCTGTTCTTTTTAAACTTTAAGTGTTTTTACAGATTAAACAAGTTATAGTGTGACAGTGAGCTTTAGATGTGCTGCATTGTATGCATTTCTTGTTACTGCTGGACAGAGGCTAGCTGTATCCCCTGGTTTCCAGTCTCTATGCTAAGTTAGCATTTTAATGAAGCGATCCCCTGGCTGTAACTTTACAATTAATAGACTGATATGAGAGTGGTATTGATCTTCTAATGCTCCGCCAGAAAGCAAATTGACATATTTCCCAACATGTCAAACTACTCCTTTAAACTGCAAAGATCTTACTGTGTGTGTGTGTGTGTGTGTGTGTGTGTGTGTGTGTGTGTGTGTGTGTGTGTGTGTGTGTGTGTG